CTGGGATCCATCTCTTGTCTAAACAACTCCCCTAATTAGTCTCAACAGCCCGCTTTCCTAAAGAACAAACCTATTGCAGTACAAAACACATCACACTAATTAACCTAATATCTAAGTACATGAAATCACCTAAAATATGAAGTAAATATATGTTAAGAAAGGTTATGTGTATTATCATATGACAAATAAGTAGACTAGAAGACTCCAGTCATGTCAACCCACTCCTGATGGAGTGAGGTGAAGAGTGCAGAAGCCAGCAGGAGCCAAGACTAGGGGGTGAAATCCAAACAGCAGAAACCATCTGTTGTTTAGTTGATCCCACAAGAAGACACCTCTGATATATAAAAAGGCCTGGCCTCCCACCCAGAGTTTGATAGGTCATAAAACACATGGTTTTAGTGTGTCACGTATTTATAAATACAACAGTTGTTAAACAACTAAAAACATTATTTGCAGAACCTGTGCGGGCTTGTGTCTGCCTCCTCTTCCTCACCGGGTACAAGTAGAGAACAGCCCCCACCAGAAGGACCACAAAGGTCACCGCGAAAATGACGAAATCCAACATGATCCCGGAGCACACGTTTATCTCCTGTTCTCACCCTGCTGTTCTCACCCTGCTGTTCTCACCCTGCTGTTCTCACCCTGCTGTTCTCACCCTGCTGTTCTCACCCTGCTGTCCTCACCCTGCTGTTCTCACCCTGCTGTTCTCACCCTGCTGTTCTCACCCTGCTGTTCTCACCCTGCTGTCCTCACCCTGCTGTTCTCACCCTGCTGTTCTCACCCTGCTGTCCTCACCCTGCTGTTCTCACCCTGCTGTCCTCATCCTGCTGTCCTCATCCTGCTGTCCTCATCCTGCTGTCCTCATCCTGCTGTCCTCATCCCACCAGAAAAACACCACGTCAACACCAGGGTCCACCATAGGCACAGATCAGTGCGATCCTCAGCCACTGCGCAGGCGCATCAGGCCAGACGCAAGCAATCCACCCAGAGCGCATCGACCATAGGACAAGTAATCACCAAATCAACTTTTTTGATATATAAAATATGTTTTTTACCTGCTCTCTTCATGTCCTGGTCAATTTATGGACAGTTTAGTGCAAATTAGACAAAATCTCACTTTTGACCCCTAAACTCAGAGACTGCAAATATTAACGAACACAGTCATGTGTCTCTCTCATAGACTGTATATTGTATCTCTCCTGTTCAAACTAATGTGCCACCACTTTCTCCGTCTATGGGCTTTTTCAAAATGGCTGCAGGGGCTGGAAAATGTGAAAAAACGCATTTGCGCATGTGTTTGCTGCACGAGCTGAACAGTGCATTCAAAAGTCCACAGCGACTAAACTAGACTGGTCCAAAATAATACGCTCCCATCAGCATTGACACACACGTGGAACCAACTTTTGGACCGTCCTGTAAAGCTGTTTTTGAGACGTAAGAAGTTGCTATACATTAGCATTGAATAATTCTTATTCCTGGTCCACCCCCACAGGCCCGGAGTGGCATTGCAGTCAGTGCACGTCATTTTGGACATTTTTGAGCCAGGACGCGCCCATACAAGTCAATACAAGACAATTTATTCTTGTATTTCCCTAAATCACAACAACATCATCTCAGAGACTTCACAAAACCATTGAAATCACCAACACAGATCAGAGAATCAACAGTTAAGACACAAGAAATGCAATAAATACACAAGAATGTATCCGTTCTTATCCAATCAGTCTTTTGTCAACTCCAAATCAGAGGGAAAGGGCCTCTGAGAGTCATTGGAGAAGGCAGAGCTGTGTTACGGCAATGACAGGAATCAGAACCGCAGAGAATGTTAATGTTTTTAAGAGCAGGCTCAAGACACACCTTAGTTTCAATCTGTGTTAGTGCGGCAGAATCGGGTCGGACCGGTCCAGGATGTGAATTATTCCTCTGTTTAATCTTTTATTCATAATTCCAGGGTTCTCGACTTGCCGCTCAGTCTCACCTCTGGCCATGATCTTTGGGGAATGACAAAAAGGACCAGATTACAGATGAGAAGGAAGTCTGTGGGCCATTAATGCTGCCCCCGGGACCCAGCAATGGGTAAAGCAGAAGAAAGAAGATGGACGATCACTATTACAATACTTTTTTTAATTACAACAGTATTTATTACATCATCAATTTTTTATGATGAGCTTAGAATTTGTTCATCCTAAAACACATCATATTTATTATTTTTATTAATTATTATTGTTAATATTTCTTGTGCTAGTCCTTTTTCTCTAAATTCTCAATATTCAACTTTGTATTGTATTTCTTTAATATCCCCAGTGTTTGCTCTGACTGTGGAGGTCTGGGGCCTCCTCTCTCCTCTGGGTCCTGTGGGGTCTGGGGCCTCCTCTCTCCTCTGGGTCCTGTGGGGTCTGGGGCCTCCTCTCTCCTCTGGGTCCTGTGGGGTCTGGGGCCTCCTCTCTCCTCTGGGTCCTGTGGAAGTCTGGGGCCTCCTCTCTCCTCTGGGTCCTGTGGGGTCTGGGGCCTCCTCTCTCCTCTGGGTCCTGTGGGGTCTGGGGCCTCCTCTCTCCTCTGGGTCCTGTGGGGTCTGGGGCCTCCTCTCTCCTCTGGGTCCTGTGGGGTCTGGGGCCTCCTCTCTCCTCTGGGTCCTGTGGGGTCTGGGGCCTCCTCTCTCCTCTGGGTCCTGTGGGGTCTGGGGCCTCCTCTCTCCTCTGGGTCCTGTGGGGCCTGGGGCCTCCTCTCTCCTCTGGGTCCTGTGGGGTCTGGGGCCTCCTCTCTCCTCTGGGTCCTGTGGGGTCTGGGGCCTCCTCTCTCCTCTGGGTCCCGTGGGGTCTGGGGCCTCCTCTCTCCTCTGGGTCCTGTGGGGTCTGGGGCCTCCTCTCTCCTCTGGGTCCTGTGGGGTCTGGGGCCTCCTCTCTCCCCTGGGTCCTGTGGGGTCTGGGGCCTCCTCTCTCCCCTGGGTCCTGTGGGGTCTGGGGCCTCCTCTCTCCTCTGGGTCCCGTGGGGTCTGGGGCCTCCTCTTTCCTCTGGGTCCTGTGGGGTCTGGGGCCTCCTCTCTCCTCTGGGTCCCGTGGGGTCTGGGGCCTCCTCTCTCCTCTGGGTCCTGTGGGGTCTGGGGCCTCCTCTCTCCTCTGGGTCCTGTGGGGTCTGGGGCCTCCTCTCTCCTCTGGGTCCTGTGGGGTCTGGGGCCTCCTCTCTCCTCTGGGTCCTGTGGGGTCTGGGGCCTCCTCTCTCCTCTGGGTCCTGTGGGGTCTGGGGCCTCCTCTCTCCTCTGGGTCCTGTGGGGTCTGGGGCCTCCTCTCTCCTCTGGGTCCTGTGGGGTCTGGGGCCTCCTCTCTCCTCTGGGTCCTGTGGAAGTCTGGGGCCTCCTCTCTCCTCTGGGTCCTGTGGGGTCTGGGGCCTCCTCTCTCCTCTGGGTCCTGTGGGGTCTGGGGCCTCCTCTCTCCTCTGGGTCCTGTGGGGTCTGGGGCCTCCTCTCTCCTCTGGGTCCTGTGGGGTCTGGGGCCTCCTCTCTCCTCTGGGTCCTGTGGGGTCTGGGGCCTCCTCTCTCCTCTGGGTCCTGTGGAAGTCTGGGGCCTCCTCTTTCCTCTGGGTCCTGTGGGGTCTGGGGCCTCTGGGTCCTGGGGCCTCCTCTCTCCCCTGGGTCCTGTGGGGTCTGGGGCCTCCTCTCTCCTCTGGGTCCCGTGGGGTCTGGGGCCTCCTCTCTCCTCTGGGTCCCGTGGGGTCTGGGGCCTCCTCTCTCCTCTGGGTCCTGTGGGGTCTGGGGCCTCCTCTCTCCTCTGGGTCCCGTGGGGGTCCTGGTTGTGCTGTATATTCATAAGTAAAATGTAGTTTGTTTACAGAGGACAAAACACACAATAGTCATTTAACAATACTTTATTTTTATGAATGATTACTTTGATAAACTCCCAAACGACGCACACTTCATATGAAACGGTTACAAAACAGTTCCATAAACAGTTCCATGACAGGCCTCTGCATTAGCCGTGTTGCTAGGGCTGTGGCAGTAACCGGTCGGACCGGTCCAGGGACTTGTCCTTTCTCTCAAATAGATCTAATAATAATAACAACATTATTGTGCTTTATTGTGACTAAAGTGGTTCAACATTTTTCACACATGACAAAGGCCCCTGGCCCGGCGCTGTGCGGCTGTGCCGTGACGGGTCTGACCCGGCGCTGTGCGGCTGTGCCGTGACGGGTCTGACCCGGCGCTGTGCGGCTGTGCCGTGACGGGTCTGACCCGGCGCTGTGCGGCTGTGCCGTGACGGGTCTGACCCGGCGCTGTGCGGCTGTGCCGTGACGGGTCTGGCCCGGCGCTGTGCGGCTGTGCCGTGACGGGTCTGGCCCGGCGCTGTGCGGCTGTGCCGTGACGGGTCTGGCCCGGCGCTGTGCGGCTGTGCCGTGACGGGTCTGACCCGGCGCTGTGCGGCTGTGCCGTGACGGGTCTGACCCGGCGCTGTGCGGCTGTGCCGTGACGGGTCTGGCCCGGCGCTGTGCGGCTGTGCCGTGACGGGTCTGACCCGGCGCTGTGCGGCTGTGCCGTGACGGGTCTGGCCCGGCGCTGTGCGGCTGTGCCGTGACGGGTCTGACCCGGCGCTGTGCGGCTGTGCCGTGACGGGTCTGGCCCGGCGCTGTGCGGCTGTGCCGTGACGGGTCTGACCCGGCGCTGTGCGGCTGTGCCGTGACGGGTCTGACCCGGCGCTGTGCAGCTGTGCCGTGACGGGTCTGGCCCGGCGCTGTGCGGCTGTGCCGTGACGGGTCTGACCCGGCGCTGTGCGGCTGTGCCGTGACGGGTCTGGCCCGGCGCTGTGCGGCTGTGCCGTGACGGGTCGGACTGGTCCAGGAATGTCCTTTCATCAAATCCATCTATTAATAATTCCAAACAATGTTCCGCTGACGCTGCTGCTTTATTGACACAGACGACAAAAAACAAAATGGCCGCAGTAAAGGATTCAGACCTGAGTCAGACTGGCGTGAGAAGAGGGAGCAGCGTGTGCAGTCAGAGCTCTCCTCCCTCCCTCACCTCCAGCCATGAGCATGAGGTGAGGAGCTCAGTCACAAAGATGGAGCTTGGACTAGAGCTGCTGCTCCTCCATGTCAAAACACACCTTTTTAGAAAAGCATTTGAGTAATATTTATGATTACAATCTATATATTCTATTTGTTTATTAGAAAACAGCATTATTCATTTGGTGTGTGTTTGTGTAGTCTGTGTGTAGTCAGTGTGTAGTCAGTGTGTAGTCAGTGTGTAGTCCGTGTGTAGTCAGTGTGTAGTCAGTGTGTAGTCAGTGTGTAGTCAGTGTGTAGTCAGTGTGTAGTCAGTGTGTAGTCAGTGTGTAGTCAGTGTGTAGTCTGTGTGTAGTCAGTGTGTAGTCAGTTTGTAGTCAGTGTGTAGTCCGTGTGTAGTCAGTGTGTAGTCAGTGTGTAGTCAGTGTGTAGTCAGTGTGTAGTCAGTGTGTAGTCAGTGTGTAGTCCGTGTGTAGTCCGTGTGTAGTCAGTGTGTAGTCAGTGTGTAGTCCGTGTGTAGTCCGTGTGTAGTCAGTGTGTAGTCAGTGTGTAGTCAGTGTGTAGTCCGTGTGTAGTCAGTGTGTAGTCCGTGTGTAGTCAGTGTGTAGTCAGTGTGTAGTCAGTGTGTAGTCAGTGTGTAGTCAGTGTGTAGTCAGTGTGTAGTCCGTGTGTAGTCAGTGTGTAGTCAGTGTGTAGTCTGTGTGTAGTCAGTGTGTAGTCAGTGTGTAGTCAGTGTGTAGTCAGTGTGTAGTCAGTGTGTAGTCAGTGTGTAGTCAGTGTGTAGTCTGTGTGTAGTCCGTGTGTAGTTTAAAGCTTTCTGAATATGAATTAATTATAATTAATATTAATTGTATTAATAGTTGTTTTTCGCAATCATTTCAATATTTTACGTTTTATTGCATTGTTTAGTTTCTCCAGTGTTTCCTCTGAGGAGCCCCCTGCACTGGGGTCTGGCTCCTGGACCTGGGGGGGTCCTCTCTCCTCTGGGGCCTCCTCTGGGGCCTCCTCTCTCCTCTGGGGCCTCCTCTGGGGCCTCCTCTCTCCTCTGGGGCCTCCTCTGGGGCCTCCTCTCTCCTCTGGGTCCTGTGGGGTCTGGGGCCTCCTCTCTCCTCTGGGGCCTCCTCTGGGGCCTCCTCTCTCCTCTGGGTCCTGTGGGGTCTGGGGCCTCCTCTCTCCTCTGGGTCCTGTGGGGTCTGGGGCCTCCTCTCTCCTCTGGGTCCTGTGGGGTCTGGGGCCTCCTCTCTCCTCTGGGTCCTGTGGAGGTCTGGGGCCTCCTCTCTCCTCTGGGTCCTGTGGGGTCTGGGGCCTCCTCTCTCCTCTGGGTCCTGTGGAGGTCTGGGGCCTCCTCTCTCCCCTGGGTCCTGTGGGGTCTGGGGCCTCCTCTCTCCTCTGGGTCCTGTGGGGTCTGGGGCCTCCTCTCTCCTCTGGGTCCTGTGGGGTCTGGGGCCTCCTCTCTCCTCTGGGTCCTGTGGGGTCTGGGGCCTCCTCTCTCCTCTGGGTCCTGTGGGGTCTGGGGCCTCCTCTCTCCCCTGGGTCCTGTGGGGTCTGGGGCCTCCTCTCTCCCCTGGGTCCTGTGGGGGTCTGGGGCCTCCTCTCTCCTCTGGGTCCCGTGGGGTCTGGGGCCTCCTCTCTCCTCTGGGTCCTGTGGGGTCTGGGGCCTCCTCTCTCCCCTGGGTCCTTTGGGGTCTGGGGCCTCCTCTTTCCTCTGGGTCCTGTGGGGTCTGGGGCCTCCTCTCTCCTCTGGGTCCTGTGGGGTCTGGGGCCTCCTCTCTCCTCTGGGTCCTGTGGGGTCTGGGGCCTCCTCTCTCCTCTGGGTCCTGTGGGGTCTGGGGCCTCCTCTTTCCTCTGGGTCCCGTGGGGTCTGGGGCCTCCTCTCTCCTCTGGGTCCTGTGGGGTCTGGGGCCTCCTCTCTCTCCCTGTGGGGTCTGGGTCCCTGGGTCCGTGGGGTGTCTGGGGCCTCCTCTCTCCTCTGGGTCCTGTGGGGTCTGGGGCCTCCTCTCTCCTCTGGGTCCTGTGGGGTCTGGGGCCTCCTCTCTCCTCTGGGTCCTGTGGGGTCTGGGGCCTCCTCTCTCCTCTGGGTCCTGTGGGGTCTGGGGCCTCCTCTCTCCTCTGGGTCCTGTGGGGTCTGGGGCCTCCTCTCTCCTCTGGGTCCTGTGGAGGTCTGGGGCCTCCTCTCTCTCCTCTGGGTCCTGTGGGGTCTGGGGCCTCCTCTCTCCTCTGGGTCCTGTGGGGTCTGGGGCCTCCTCTCTCCTCTGGTCCTGTGGGGTCTGGGGCCTCCTCTCTCCTCTGGGTCCTGTGGGGTCTGGGGCCTCCTCTTTCCTCTGGTCCTGTGGGGTCTGGGGCCTCCTCTCTCCTCTGGGTCCTGTGGAAGTCTGGGGCCTCCTCTCTCCTCTGGGTCCTGTGGAAGTCTGGGGCCTCCTCTTCTCCTCTGGGTCCTGTGGGGTCTGGGGCCTCCTCTCTCCTCTGGGTCCTGTGGAAGTCTGGGGCCTCCTCTCTCCTCTGGGTCCTGTGGGGTCTGGGGCCTCCTCTCTCCTCTGGGTCCTGTGGGGTCTGGGGCCTCCTCTCTCCTCTGGGTCCTGTGGGGTCTGGGGCCTCCTCTCTCCTCTGGGTCCTGTGGGGTCTGGGGCTGGGGCCTCCTCTCTCCTCTGGGTCCTGTGGGGTCTGGGGCCTCCTCTCTCCTCTGGGTCCTGTGGGGTCTGGGGCCTCCTCTCTTCCCTCTGGGTCCTGTGGGGTCTGGGGCCTCCTCTCTCCTCTGGGTCCTGTGGGGTCTGGGGCCTCCTCTCTCCTCTGGGTCCTGTGGGGTCTGGGGCCTCCTCTCTCCTCTGGGTCCTGTGGGGTCTGGGGCCTCCTCTCTCCTCTGGGTCCTGTGGGGTCTGGGGCCTCCTCTCTCTCCTGTGGGGTCTGGGGCCTCCTCTCTCCCCTGGTCCTGTGGGGTCTGGGGCCTCCTCTCTCCTCTGGGTCCTGTGGGGTCTGGGGCCTCCTCTCTCCTCTGGGTCCTGTGGGGTCTGGGGCCTCCTCTCTCCTCTGGTCCTGTGGGGTCTGGGGGTGTGTCTGTGTGTGTCTGTGCTGTGTCTGTGTGTGTCTGTGTGTGTGTGCGTGATGTGTGTGTGTGTCTGTGCGTGTCTGTGTGTGTCTGTGCGTGATGTGTGTGTGTCTGTGCGTGTCTTCTCCCGAAGCACATCTAAACTCCCAGAGCTGCACTTACAGCCCATGATGGTTGGGCCCAAAAGTAAATGTCCAAACTCAGGCCCGCGGGCCAATGTGGCCCCCTGCTGCTAACACAAAGTCGCCATTGAGGCACTTTGACAGTGTCATCCAACCAACTTCAGCTCCAACAACACAGTCATGCAGTACCTTGGAATCCAGCTGTTGACTTGTTATTTCACAACATTCCACATAAAATGGAATAAAACCCATTTAAAATTCCAGAATCACGAGCAATCCATCTTGAATCCAGTTTTTTAAATCCAGGTTGTTGGCTCCAAGCCAAGTCTAAGAAGTTTGGGCACCCCTGCTCTGCAATATGTGCTTCCACATACAGAATAAATAACCTGTGCTTCCACATACAGAATAAATAACCTGTGCTTCCATATACAGAATAAATAACCTGTGCTTCCACATACAGAATAAATAACCTGTGCTTCCACATACAGAATAAATAACCTGTGCTTCCACATACAGAATAAATAACCTGTGCTTCCACATACAGAATAAATAACCTGTGCTTCCACATACAGAATAAATAACCTGTGCTTCCACATACAGAATAAATAACCGCAATAAAACGGCCGAGCCGTCAAAAGGCAATAATGCCCAGGCCATTTTTTGGTCCCAGTCCAGCCCTGAGTGAAAGAGTCTCCTCTGCAGTGAAGCTCCCTTAGAGATAGAGGAGCTCAGTCACATGTGAGGATCTCAGGGTAGAGCCACTGCTCCTTCACGTGGAGAGGAGCCTTTGGTGGAGGCTCATCTGTTTGGGATGCTCTCTGTCCTGAACATGTCCCACCAGGAGACCAGGGGAAGACCCAGGACTGTGTCTCTGGGAACACCTCAGGATTCTGTCCTGTACACAGCCTGTGTTAGCATTGTGCACCTGTATACAGCCTGCGTTAGCATTGTGCACCTGTATACAGCCTGCGTTAGCATTGCGCACCTGTATACAGCCTGTGTTAGCATTGTGCACCTGTATACAGCCTGTGTTAGCATTGTGCACCTGTATACAGCCTGTGCTAGCATTGTGCACCTGTATACAGCCTGTGTTAGCATTGTGCACCTGTATACAGCCTGTGTTAGCATTGTGCACCTGTATACAGCCTGTGTTAGCATTGTGCACCTGTATACAGCCTGTGTTAGCATTGTGCACCTGTACACAGCCTGTGTTAGCATTGTGCACCTGTATACAGCCTGTGTTAGCATTGTGCACCTGTATACAGCCTGTGTTAGCATTGTGCACCTGTATACAGCCTGCGTTAGCATTGTGCACCTGTATACAGCCTGTGTTAGCATTGTGCACCTGTATACAGCCTGTGTTAGCATTGTGCACCTGTATACAGCCTGGTCTGCAGGTGGAATGGAGCCCAGGGCGTTAGAAGACTCTACACTTGTAAACAGGCTGCAGTGGAGCGCAGCGTCCGGATTACACGGCTCTAAGTCTTTGTGCCCCCCCCCCCCCCCTCACACGCCCCCCCACACACCGTGGATAATGAACCCTTTGTGTCATTATTGAGCTAATCCTGCTCCTGGAGGGCCCACTCCGTCACCCTCATCCAGAGCTTGTTTGTGTGTTTCCTCTTACGACCATGTTTGTTCAAGAATTCATTTGCGCCCGTGCCGCGGCCCCGTGGGACCCGCGGGGCCGCGGG